TGTGCTGAGGATATTACCTTTTTGAAGTTTCTAGTCTACTGCAGACATCCCCCTTTAGGCTCTAAGAAAACTGCCTGAGTAGGTTTACACTTAGGCACGTAAACTATATGGTAATGCGGAGAACATAGAATTTGTCCTTCGCCGTTCCAAAAAGACATGGAAAGTCAGTTATCACCTATTTCAAACGCAACGGGTCGGCAAATCCTCGATCCAGAACTTTTTTGCTTAATTGGGGAAAGTCTGGTGCTGTGCGGATAGAGAGCGCGAAAAGCGCAAAAACCTACATTTCCTCCTTTCCCTTCCCTCCCCCTATTTCAAATTTGGACGAGCTCAACAGTTCCGACAAGATGTTTGTAAGGTTTCCACCCTCATGTGCTGTAAAAGCAGATTTTGATTCATCTTGTTGAGTAGAGGAATTTCGCCGGTGGGTGTTCTTGTGTTCATCTAGCTTATAGACCATCAATTCAATAAGGACCTAAAAACCATTTTGCGCTTTCGTGAATACAAATCGCACTGAGATTGTATGAAACTCCTTGATACATATATCATGCTAATTGAGGGAGTAGAGTCTCGATACAAATAGTCAAGCTGGTTTCTGCAGGATCACGCACAACTGCGCAAAGAATTCTGAGGTTGCTGATTTACTTTCTGATAATCTATGTTACGGAGAAACTCTCTTCGTTTATGATAGAAAAAAATGGAGAAGAAAACAATTGTTAAAGTGCTTTGTGCCATTACATCAAAACAGGTCCTAAGCCAACATTTTCACAGACTGCAATCGGTGCATCACGAACTCACAATTATTGCGGGTACCCGCGGCCTTCAACGCTGCCTTTTGGCAATGCGCGGCCCTAGACTTTGTTTGTTTTGAAAATCCAACGTTATGAAAGGTCGCGGCTCGATCTATCTGTTTCATCGCAGCCTCTCGGCCAAAGAAGAAGCACTCGTGCGGGCCCCGGGCATTACAAAACGCTGTGTGTATTTAGTTTTCGGACAAGCCCCGGCTACTTGTGCCACGGCCGTCAGAATATTCTGGTGAGCCGCAGGCCTTGCTGGGCTTTGCAATTCTTACACGCTCTAAGAGAAAACATCACTTGCTTGTGATACGTTGCGGAGATAGGGCCACCCTCAACGTTTGTTCATTGCGTTGGAAGTTAAGTAAAGTCAGCCTGTAATCTTTAATAGTGTCTCGGATAGCCAGCAATGGCTTAATCCTGAAACCAAGGGTAGAGGGGCGCATGAACTAGTTTAGACGTCACCCTGTATTTTTGTGTAGATTGTGGTCTTTATGCAAGGACGGAAATGGAGATAATTAGGTTGGAAACTAAGTTTTGCAACTGCAGTCATAACTTCACTCTCTTTGCAAATGGCGCACTCAAAGTCTGGCTATACGCAGATCTCTATGTGTGCTACAACTGAGCACAGACTGTTTGATTTTTGAAAATGAAATAGAAAATTTTCCAAAAATAGTAAACTTCTATGAGTTTATGAGCAAAAATGAAGCCGTTCGCGACTCAAATCATGCATAGTGATTCGAAAATGTATGTTACTGCTTGAGGTCGACTCATTCGACGCAGTAGAAAACCAGTAGGACTGAAAGACAAGTCGAGACCTAGCGCCCTCAAGAAGACGAGATAGCAAGGCTGGTGGGGACAACCATTGATGACCGAGGAGTGGGAACGTCAAAATCCGCAGAGACTTCACATATTAAGGCTATTCGACCTGCTAAACACAAAAATCACATTTGTCTGTTAAATTAGCGCCTTTTTTTTATTGTTTGAGGTGAGACCCCATACCGTAAAGCAGTGGCGTACCCAGGATTTCGGCTCGGGGGGGGGGGGGGCGCGGCGAAAAAAATTTTTAAATGAAGGTGCGTGGCGTTAGCCACGCACTCCAAAAAAATTTTAGGGGGGCTTCTCAACAATTTTGCGGGCCCCCAACCCCTAAAATCTGGAAAAAGGGGGCGTGGCGTCAGCCACGCCCCCGAAAAAAAATTTTTTATAAAGCTATATTAAATTTTTAAAAAATTTTAAAAATTATTTTAATTGTTTACAAAAATAAACAAGTCATTTGCACATTTTTATAACGCATGTAAGTAACTTTCAAAAATTTCGCGGCCCGTTCTCGGGGGGGGGGCGCGCGCCCCCCCCCGCCCCCCCCCCCTCGGTACGCCACTGCCGTAAAGCTACAGTAATCTTGCAAGAAAACCCTCAACTACGCTAACACAGTTGTTATTTTTTGGTCACCATGTCGAATAACCCTCCTAAACCAATTTCAGCCAGATCCGTGATGATTCATAATTTTCTCTTTTGTACCATATACCTACCGTAATCTCCACTGCGACGTCAGAATTTGGCGGAACAGCAGCTGTGCTTGTAGCTTCCGTCATAGCGTGCATACTGGTAAAATTTGAGTGCTTCATATTGAACGAGAGCAAGATTAGGTTGCAAAACTTAGTTTCCCTAATAAATTTCAAAATTCTACATAATTCGGATACCGGGTGCGTATCGGGCCACCCGCGGGTGCAAATGTCGGGCGTTCGCCGGCAACTCCATTGTCTTTAAGCGCATATCGGGTAAACCGCGGGCATTCTCGGGCGCTTATCGGGTAATTATCGGAGCGCCGTTGGAATGGGTGTGCCGCCCGTGGGTGGTCGGCGGATGCTCGCCATAATCTGAGAAGATTCGGAAGAAGAAGCATGATGCACATAAAAACTACCTGGCAAAAAGAGAATATGTATTTATACAGCGTGAGGTATCCAAGTCTAAATGGGCTTTCCACTAGTGATTACATCGCTCTCTTACATCACCAACACCGAATAACTGTTTGTTAGCTTTCGATGGTCTTCAGGGAACTTATAAGCGGTTGTTATCTCAGGAATACCATCTATCGAATCAGATGACTATTGATTAGCGACGCCATAACATTATGAATGTGTGGATGCATGGACTGAATTGATGGAGAAAGTGCGGAGCAGGTTGTCAAGAGGGCCATCAAACCCGAAACTTTTGGATTTTTGGAGAATGTTTTGTAAAAGTTCCGGAAACAAGGCAAGAAGACTTTCCTGATAAACCTACGGAAAAGTTGGTGCAATTCTTCCAGATTTGCCGGAGGCTCCCGCCAGAGTGCCGAAGCCATGCCAGCGCTACGCCAGCGCCGAGTTAGCGTTTCGATCGATACACGTGTATTTCGTTGGGGACATCTACCTGCTGAGAACTAGGTCAGCTAGCCCCCGTCCCAACGAAATACACGTGAATCGATCGAAACGCTGGCTTGGCGCTGGCGTAGCGCTGGCATGGCTTCGGCACTCTGGCGGGAGCCTGAACGCTGCCTTTGAAAATCTGTTTGATGTAATGGCACAAAGTACTTCAATTCATTGTCGGTGGATGTTTGCGCCATAACAGTTCGGAAGTAGCTGCCCAAGTTTGAAGAATTGGGTTGGGACATAAAAAATTTTACTCCTAACATCTGCTAAGTAAGATGCGGCTTATATGGAGGGCCGGAGGAGGGGAGGGGGCTTAAAATTAAGCTTTGACAAGCTTTTTGAAAAGTCAAACCGGAGACCATTTTCCCTTTCTGTGATAAATAGAAGAAAAAAGTTTTTTTTCTCATGACCATAGATTGCAATCAATGCAATCAACGACTGCTTTCCCCTCCAGTTCTTCATTATAAAAGAAAAGTCTAGTTTTATTGCCGCTTGCACTAACATCCCCGCTAGGGATCGCAGATTTAAAAAAGCTTCATATCCTGAAACTCCGAAAATCTGGATTTCATGCCCTATGACCTATCTGTAGATATTCCCACCATCCTTCACTACGGACATATTGAACAGGAGCGAGAATCTGTAAGCCTGATGATCCCCGGTGGCCGACTCTCTTTTCTCCAAAGTCGTTTTTCTTTCTTCAAGCTAGCGAAAACATTCCAAAGTTGTACTGATTGTCTAACCCAACAGTGCTAAGCATGTGGCTGTTGAGAACAAACAAGCGTCAGAAAATAGAAGTTTTCGGCAAACCCCAACTTTTGACTTGTGGTTCATGGTAGACTTCTTGACTTCAGAGCATCATTTGTTCTTATCAGCATATGGTTAGCACTGTTCGGTTAGACAACCAGTGAGACTTTGGCACGTTTTCAATAACTCTGAAGAAAGAAAAATGACTTCAAAGAAAAGACGGTCGGCCGCCGGGGATCATCAGGAGATCATCTAAAAAGCTGCGAAATGCGGCTTGTACAACTTCTTGCTCCTGTTCAATATGTTCAAAGTGAGGACAGCAGAAATACTTACGGACAGCGTGATTTTCAGATATCTGGAGCTTCACGATATGAAGCTTTCTTTTGAGCTGCGATCCCCTCTCCAGCGGGGATGTTAGTGCATGCTCATATTTTCTCATAACATAGATTATCATTATCTGACAATAAAGCGCTTAGTCTGTTTGTTTGTCTGTCCGTGTGTGCGTATATCTGTCTATCATGAAATTCAAAGAGCGGGTTGCACAAACATCTAGAGCCAGAATCTTGCACAACGCACGTCACCATCATGTAGGTCCATTATCCAAAAGCAGAGCGGATTTGCTGCGTGAAACCTTTGGAACTTGCGCATCAAACGGGCATGCGAGTTTTGGCGCGCGCAACCGGGCCGTATACGGACTTTTCACAAAGTCAAGTATATGTTTGACATGTACGTCTGTAAACCATTGACTTTAGCCCAAAAAAGTGACCAAAAGTCTATTGCTTTACGAACATAGCGGCAAAAAGAACTTGCTGTGTAAATGTTCAACTTGCCAGGATTTCATCTGATCATTTGTGGAGATTTTTGCACATAGATGTAGCTCACAATGATTATTGTCATTAAGACGACTACCAAGTCATGGAGAGTCCAAAAACCGATTTAGATTTGCATTCGTTCTTCTGGGAAAAGTTTCACCCACGCGAAATCACCGATATCTCACATAGAGAAGCTTTAGAAATGAGTAGTTGTTTACAAATCATTCGTGATAGCCTGCATGAGGCGGTGAGTTTAAATGTCATTATTGCAGGAATGAGTAAGGCATAGTGATGGTGAGATTAGTGCGAGCCTCTGCGAAGCAGAGGTAACGCACTGGTCAGAAAATATTAGGTTGGTGCAAAAATAATGAGCGTTTTTATTTTCTTGCTTCAACAAAGCAAGCAGACTCAACCCAACGAAGGGTAAGGGGTATTGTTCGATAGAGCAAAGCAAGCTCTACAACATGGCACTCATGCCTTTGCGCCATGCTCGATCCACGGAAAGTTCGAACTCAAAATCTAAAAATTTCCAAATGCCCAAAAAATCGAAAAAAAATCAGATCTTCGTCCAAATAATTTCTACGGACCTCCCACTCGCTCACATCGATGCTATCGATGTCTCCATATGTGCGATTGCCGTATTTTTTTCTGGACTAGAAACTGAGAAAACGAAAATTTCCCTGATTTTCTCAAAGCAATGCTGAGCCGTTTTTACATATGTAATTCTATACTACAAGCCTAGGTAAGCATAACTGTAGGTTTTCAGCCTATTTCGAGCGGTACTTTTCGAGAAATGTCGATTTTAGCACTGAAACTGAAACGAAAAAATCCGAATTCGTTATTTTTCGAAAACTACCGCTCGAAATAGGCTGAAAACCTACAGTTATGCTTACCTAGGCTTGTAGTATAGAATTACATATGCAAAACCGGCTCAGCTTTGCTTTGAGAAAATCAGGAAAATTTTCGTTTTCTCAGTTTCTAGTCAAGGAAAAAATACGGCAATCGCACATATGGATATCAGATATCGATAGTATTGATGTGAGCGAGTGGGAGGTCCGTAGAAATTATTTGGACGAAGATCTGATTTTTTTCGATTTTTTGGGCATTTGGAAATCTTTAGATTTTGAGTTCGAACTCTCCGTGGATCGAGCATGGCGCAAAGACATGAGTGCCATGTTGTAGAGCTTGCTTTGCTGTATCGAACAATATCCCTTACCCTTTGTTGGGTTGAGTCTGCTTGCTTTGTTAAAGCAAGAAAATAAAAACGCTCATTATTTTTGCACCAACCTAATAAATCAGCAACCTCAAAAAGACCTTGCGCAACCGTGCTTCTCATTCTGAAGCGGGTTTAACAATAAATCAGACGTCTCCCAATTAGCATAGCATATACTGCCCCAAAGAATCATGACTTATAATAACGGGCTAAGGGTGTGTGTGTGTGTCTGTTACAAAATTCGTGGAGCGTGTTCCAGCCAGCGTTCTAAGCCCAAATTTTGTATAGCACATGCTACCTTCATGAAAGTCCAACAAGCAAAAGCACGAGTAGATTCGTTGAGTGGATCTCTCAGAAATTGCGCGTCAAGCGGGTCCACCTGGCTTCTGTACCGCAAAATTCGGTCCGTATCACCACTTTTTGTAGAGTCGTGGATGAGTTTGGTAAGCAGATGCGCAAGCGATGGAGTTTAGCCAGAAAAGTGGTCGAAAGTTTACTACATAACGAAAACGGCGCCAAAACGAATTGGTTGTGTAAATGGTCAATTTGCCAAGGTTCTAGCTAAGCGTTTGAGAAGGTTTTCGCACAGAGATGTAGTTCACGGTTATCATTACCTTTATGACGACTACCAAGTCATGACAAATCCAAAAACCTATTCAAATTTACGTTTGTCATCCTGCGAAAAGTTTCATCCACGCGAAATCACCGATTTCACGTGAAAAGACTTTCTAAATGAGTGGTTGTTTACATTTCATTCGTGGTAGTCGGCATAGCACGGTGAGTTCCAGTGCCACGATTTTACGAGAATGAGTAAGGCACATAGATAGTAGAGCCAGTGCGAACCTCTGCGAAGCAGAGGTGACGCACTGGTTTCATATAATCTCGGTGCGATTCGTGTTCAAAAGAGCACAAAATGATTTCTCGCTTTCCTCGCTCAGCATGTGAAGTAAACAGAAAAGGGCTGTTTTTTCATCGAATTGATAATCTATAAGCTAGATGAGCACAGAACATGCGGATAGCAGACAATGTTGCTAAAAGTGAAGGAACTCGCGGCCACTTCCAACAGATACGCCTTCACACATTACAGCTCCAGTTGTCCACACTTGTGGAGCCTATCGGCGGTGTTGCTCAGCAGAGCTAGTGAAAATCGTATCTGCACAAAAAAGGTGAAGACCTTACAAACATTTTGCAAGCAATAACTTTGCTCAATTAGTGATGCAAAACCTTGAAGAAGGCATTGTAGATCATGATAAAGATTTGACATAAAAAGTAGGCAACATTTCTATAGTTCATCTAGTAAGGCAACGTCCTTGGAGATGAAGATATTTAATTATTGTAGTCCATGATTAAAAACTTCGATATGACATGATCACAGACACGTGTCTACACGAGATTCTTCTGCGAGGACAAAGTCGCATTCCAAAGAACACGGTCATGAGAATGGACACTCGCCTGAAAGTGAACTTATTGATCACGTCGATTTGACCGATTTTAAGGTCGAGGCCACAATCACTTCTGAAGTGAGAGACAGCATTTTAAGGTGTGCACAGTTGGATAAATGATTACCTAAGAAAAAAACCGATATTAAGGTGCTTACGCGAAGGACCCGTTCGTTTGAGCAGTCGTCGAATCTTCCGCAAACCACCAAAAATTGTGAAAGTAGTCACATACGGCACATCCGATCACATCACTCTCTTGGAACCATTGGAATCAAACGGTATGTACACTAACACATTGTATAATTCCTGATAATCATAAACAATTATGGTCACCACTTTTTTCTCTTAAGAAATAAGGCTAAAGCACTACCTAAGGGTAGAAATTGGCAAGTCACGCACTCGCTCTTCATTTTCAACGACGGGCAATTGCACCATAGTGTGCTTTGTATATGCGTAAGTAGAATTATCATAGAACTGCGAGAACATCTGGTAGTTTTTTGGCGGATTGACCTTGAACGACGATTTCGCGTTGCTTGCATGGGACTTCCAACCGACGGCGTCCGGGGTTTCATGTGGATTTAAATCCTTTAGTATAAAAGGTGGGCAATGGCATTCGCAAGACTTTCTGCAGGGGGGGGGAGGGAAGCAACAAGAAATTTCTCGAATGAAGGACCTTGGCGTTAGCCACTCCCGAAGATTTGACGTCCGAACACTTTTATGAGCCCACAACTCGTAATCTTTGGAAAGGGATATCGGGGCAACCACATCACCGGAAAGAACTTTTTTTTATAAGTCTTACTTAAATTTTTTGAAAGTTTTGAAATATTTTGATTATTCACAGATAGAATAAATAAATAATAATAAATAGTAATAATAATAAATATAAATAAATTAAGTCACTTCATTTTTTTAAACCATCAGTGACCTTCGCTGCCTCCGCCATCCTAGCTTAGCGGGGCGAGCCTGAGCGTTATACGTTAGGCCCGCATTATAGCCAAGCATCAACCGAGCTACTAATTCGGATGCAGATCGCTTAGTAAGTGAGCGCTTTATCAACAAGCAAAGAACCTTTTCTTACCAAGTAAACTTCGTGGTGTTCAGTACGTCTCTGACAAGACTGCTGTAGTGCTCTTATGATTTTTTCCATCTTTAATAAATCTAAGGGAATCATCAAAGCCTAAAAGGCGTTTCCGATTAGCTAGTATTTATAAGGCCCCATTAATTTTAAATGGGCTTCAAGAAACTAAGGAAAATGGTGATTGGTAGAGGAAGGTCTGAGTCCGAGGAATAGGTAAAAAATTCTTTGCGCGATCACCTTCTTTTTTGAAAGCCAGTTTTCTTGCATGTGGTTTGGCGGCGATGTGGGCAAAGATGGCACCCTTTCATAGTTGTACGTGCAAGTCCGCTTAAATTTGACGTTCTAACGTTCCTCAAACCGATATTATATTACTTTATTGAAATTGCATAGCTAGATCTTAGCAAGATGTAGCGTACAAGACCAGAAGAATTGGTTTTTGAATTCATTACTCTTTTAAAGTGTACCTTTCATGGCCATGCTTCCAATGCTTGTCTACATAATTTGTCGCAATATCGTTTCTTATAGCCGTACTTGGTTTACTTTTGCTACAAATATCAATTTAGACCAAAAAGGAAAAAGGGACTGGCCAGATTATGAGCAACGAAATAAAGTCGCGCGCTCTTAAAGGCAGCGGCTCGGCAGATTTTCGGCTTGAAGTTTTTATGCTTACCTGGGGGAATCCGAGGCGCTGATTCCGAAGATCCACCTAAAAAAGCGCTAAAAAGGCATTTCCGAAGGCCTCCCATTCTAAATATGGACGTGTGGAGCACGTCCCGCCATTAGAGGGGCAGAATCGTCGGCCCTTTCGCAGTTATAACACTGCGGCATGCCTTCTCTGACAGGTCAGAGAGAATCTCAAGCTCGTCCGCGCGTATTAAAATGGCCTGCGCGTAACGGGCTTTTCTGAGCAAGGGCAGCATGCTGTGCGCTCGAACCTGCACTATTCTCTTGTTTGGGGTGCAAGCAACCTTCCAGTCAAAATTTCGGGAGTTCGGTTTTGGCGAGCTGCTGCCTTTAATCTGCGAAACCGACAATTTGTGGCTTATGCCCTTGCTGAAATTCTTCTGCATGGCATTTTGCGAAGCTGGTTTCTTAATGAGGCTATGTAACATCTTAAGGCCTGCTGATAATTTTGCGCGGCTACACTTGCAGTTCCTACCAAAGCTTGCCTATTATGGCAGCAACACTTTCACTTCTCTAGAACTAAACTTTTTTAACCAATCTTGCACCTATCTTCAGAAAGGTGCAGCCTTGGCAGACGTACTGCGCACAATAGTAATCAGTTACCTTCTCTTCGAGTTTTAGCTCGAAAATTGCAGTTATTGGAAAATTGCACTTCACATGCACTTTTCCCAGCCGCATAAACCTCCTGCACAAAGCGATTTCTGCATGTTTGTCGAGATTTTCAAACACTGAAGTCTCCTACCAAAAGACTTCTACCTTCTACTTTCTACCGAAAGCTCCAATAACATCATTTTTGCTATATTGTCAAACAATCTTTGATAGCGCCCACCACCGAAAAATCGATGATGAGCTATAAATTAGCCTAGCAAATGCAGACATCGAACAAGGTGAACGAAATTTTGATAATTTGACATAAAATTATGGAGAAACCAGTGCTTCACCTCTGCTTCGCAGAGGTTCGCACTGGCATCGTGAACCGTGGTAAACTCACTTACTGAGAGCTTGTCTCTCAAATCATTGTTCGGTTTATTGCAACTTGAGCCGTAGTTAAAAATGAACCATACTCGCTATCTTAACCTCACATGATGTTAGTATCGTAAATCATTCCTCACTGTAATTTCGTAACGGACAAACTCCACACAACTTCAGATTAAGCCGCTTATTATAAGTCATGATAATAGTTGAAAAATATATAATAATACAAAAGTGCAAAGATATTTTGCAAATCACCAAAAGAAGTGTTCTGCAGAAAAGGTGAAAATTTCTTCTACCCATAACTGCGGCCGATACACATCGACTCTGTCTATTTGTAAGCCGCGACTCGTGTGACGTTACGCATTGTAGCCCGTAATGTTACGTCAACTGCCGTAAATTACTTACGAGCAATTTACGATACTTTTCGTTAATTCTCCGCCCCAGCACATACAGCATTTGATCTTCCAATCATCCTTATCTTACGGCAGCGGGGCAAAGTCGCCGCCGCAGTTGACGTATTGATCAACGGCCAGTTCACATGGCCTTTCCAAAGCAGGAGAATGGGCGGTGGTCAAACTGTCGAGTGTAAAATTAGGAATTCAGGAGAAATCATTATCTGGTCTGAAAGAATTTGCTACGAATCACTGTCTTTACCGGGTGTATTAACCAACTCGGCAAGTATAGGGCATTCGGAAAATCGCCACGAAGGCAAGACCGCGCAACACGCACGCGCTTGTGGCAACCGCATTTTCTTTGTTTCCATCCCTATACGAATGTTTTTTATGCCTACGATGATAGTATCTGATTTCTATTACATGTTGATGTAGAAAACATTTTGGTCGCATATAAATGAGGTTTATTGAGAACCTGGAACATCTAACTAAATTTATTGCGGATTGCCTGGAAGATGACCATGCAATCTGCTGCGATGAACCATGTCCTAAAAGATAGAATAAGTAAATGGCTTCCTATAGAACGTGGTTGCGAACCTGTATCTGGCTATTGTACGGTAACACGGTCTAATGAACAGGCTCTAAAGTGTCGCATACGCTCGTTCCAAGCCCACTAAATTTTGTGCAACCATTTTCCATAATCGTAAGTTGAAAAATGGAATATTAACGCACGCAGAGGAACGCAAAGACTCACTTTTGGTTTTTTTTTAAATTTCTTTCTCCTTAAAGGCAGTGGCTCGGGAAATAGCAACTGCACGCTTTCCGTTTCTTCTTGGCCTTTTGGGTGGTTTAGGCCGGAGGTGTCCTTGAAAAGTCAGAAAAAGTGTTTTTTGTGGCGTTCTCTGGCCTTGAAGATTGCTGAGGAGGCTGGAGCGGAGATTAGCGATTGGCTGCCTGGGCTAATCAGTCGTGCCGCCGAAATGAGGCTGTTACAGTGTCCTGCAGCCAATCGCCGTTTTTGGCGCAATCTCCGCTCAAGCCTCCCCAGCAATCTCCAAAGCCGGAAAACGCCATAAAAAGCACTTTTTAACGTTTCAAGCACAGCTCTGGTCCAAGCATGCAAAAGTCCAACTAGGAACAGAAAGCGCGCAGTTGCAATTTCCCGAGCCACTGCCTTTGAAGTCAAAATCCGAAAATTCCTTAGGTTCGCTTCAAAATTGTGCATGATGTGAGGGCTGATCAACCTTACTTGCTTATAAGGCGTCCTCTCAGAATACAACTTTTTGGCAGGCATACACCACGGCACAGCTACCTCTAATCCCCGTCTCCTTCCGCATTCCAGAGTGGAACTTTTCATAAACAGTGGTGACTCCGCGCTTAGGAGAAACATCTCTCTTCGCCTTCATTTTTAGTTGCGGCTGCGCGTGTTTCAAAACTTGGCTTTTAAGCCATTGGAGTTCTGAAGAAAAAGTATAAATATGAGGAATCAGAGGATTTTCAAAAAGCAGCAACTGTTGCTTCTCGTCTCCTTGTGATCTGGAACCTGTGGAGGCCTTTAGACTACTTTTCGTTATCGATCGATATCGATTTTATCGTTTTTTTTGCAAAATTTGAGCTACAGGGCTCGGATTTGGCACAGGGGGTAATCGAGCATGCTGATTACAAATATATTATTGACAGGCCCGGGCGGAGCCGGGTTTGCCAACTAGTATATTATATGTGCAAAGATATGAGCGGCTAAAACAAAGGAAACGCAAAGAAATGTAAATCAGGCAGTCATTTATCTTGTATACGTACAGTAGTCGATGTTTGAAGATCGAGGGTGCGTAGATATCCTCAAAGAAAGTAAATAAGATACTTTAGCTAGATACTTTATCCTGACATGACATAAGAACATGGCCAAACCTACTTAGACAAATACGTGATCCAGCAAAAACAGACTACAATTCAATACTGCGTATATCCTTTTGATGTCGCTGGGAACTTGCTCGATGTTCTGCGCTCAAGGTATTTTTTATTTCGGAATGTTGCGGGATATATTAGGTCCTTAGGCACTTTTTCTGACGGCGCGCGTGCCTTCACCGTGCGAGCGCTCATGCCTCACGCCGCCCGTAGAATGAAGGTACTCGGCTCGCTCGCTGGAGGCGAG